TTTCAGTGTCAGCATCTGAATGCATCGTTTTTTTTTGGAGCGTGGGTACGCCGACTTTAATGAGGGCCGGAAACTTCTCCCAACTTACGGGTCAAAGTTTTAGGGTATGGTTCGGAGAATCAACAGTGTGCAAGTGGTGACCATTCCTGATCGTTCAACGTTCTCTTTCTTGGCTGTAGCTCTTGTTTGTTGTTTTTAGGAGGTACGTTTCTCAGAGAAAAAATGAAAACATGCTACCAGATTGGACATATTTGTTTGGGAGCGTAAATGCGATTTAATGATAAATAGACTGGTTTGTGGTCGTATGTAACCGCTAAACGCGCTGCCCGGTGGAAACAATTTCGAAAACCCAACACCCCCTCAGCACGTTGGGATGAAATAGTTTTCAGAATTGAATCAATCCGATTAGCCACTACACGATGCCTATGCGGTTGTTCTGTCGCTGCCTTAATATTTACGGTGGTGGTTCACAAACAAAGCTATCGAACTGATACAGTTCACTCTTTTTTTCTCACTGTGCACACAAATCGTTTTTATATACTACTCGGAATTTTTCTAACCCATTGAAGTCGTAGTCTCTGAAACCGTCAGGACCTTGATCGAATTTGCTGCTGGGCCCAAAATGCGATTGCACAGTACAACACGTTGTGGCCTAACTCCTTTAATTCCGGCGATCGCCGTTTCAGCCATGTGGAGCAATTCGCGTTACATCAAATGGTTTTATGACTCCATGTAGAGGAGCCATAAATGATCGAAATTCGACCCCGTCAGATTCCCGAAAATTCATTAATCCCTAATTGATGTTCGGTTCATTTTTTACCCGTTTTTGATGTTTGATGTGGATGGAGTGTGGTTCAACGTTCTTTTGAATTACCCGAAAGTTAATGGGACGGATTCGAATAAGTTTTCCGTAGACGAAGATTTACTAATATCTTTGTGAACAAGAACGCACACCACAGAGTTTCGCGAATAATGTAGCAAATGCTGGCTGTTTGGTGGAGTCCCACAAACAAACCTAACCCGCACGTGAACCATTAGCTGGTGAAATCGGTCCGACTTCAACTTGAGTTATTATTGACCAGGAATGTGAACTCGTAAGCTATGGTCTCGGTTCGTAATTAGCTTAGCACCAGTTGCCTCTATGTACCATTTGACTTATTTTGATCCCTTTTGGTCTATTTCAATCAAACAGCCATTGTTCCATGTAAACACCACCGTTCAGTAATATAGACCGGAAACGTCTTTTCGATGAATTCAAAAGAATCAATCTGCACCGTAGTTTACATTTTCCGTGTTTTGCGTGAAACTCTTTGCTTCCTTCTTCGGTTGAGTTATATGTTTTATCCCTGAAATATGCTTGCGAGACTCCAGCTAAGACGCCTACCCAAATATTTTGTACGGCCAAAGTGGGTTAACTGCAGCACCCATAAACCTACTTGGGTTCGAGACAACAGGAGTTAAAGTATCTTCCCAAAAGTTTGATTGCTCTTGCCTCAACCTGGCAATCCGGTAGCATCTTAGTCTTCATGTTTGATGCATGTGGCTTCGCAGCCAGGTATCAAAGGGCTGACGCAGCTGGTCACGGTTTGAGCTAAGTTCACTGATTGTCATTGCATGAACATTCACTAAGTAGACCTAATTTGCATTAATTTCTCTCTCTCTCTCTCACCGAACCTGTTTTAGCCCCGGAAGTAGTAATGAACATGCGTTATTCATTCAGCCCCGATTGGTTCAGCTACGGTTGCCTTGTCTACGAGATGATCATGGGTCACGCGCCATTTCGTAAACGCAAGGAACGTGTGAAGCGCGAAGAGGTCGATCGGCGCGTTTGTGAAGAACTGGAAGAATACAATAGTCAGTTCTCAGAGAATGCTAAGAAGCTTTGTCGTCTGGTAAGTTCGCATATTGTGATTTTTATATATTTGAAGCCTTTCTTCGTCTCGGTTCGTTTCTTAAAGTCCTCAGAACATAGTCCACCTTTGACATCTTCTCATGCTTAACGGCGACCGAACTCATATAACAAGTCAGTTCCTCGTAATTAGGCCGTGGAGAGTACGTAATATGATATGATGTGGGCTATACAAGCACTGGGGGTGAGCTGGCCCAAGTAGTTAGAGCGCAAACTTACTGACCGGAAGGCCCGTGGTTCGAATCCGTCCTGTGCCTCTTGACTTCCTTTGCCTGGGCTTGGGAAACCTGGCAGTATCCCAGCCCTCGTGAAACCTTCGGGTTGCATGGCAGCTAGGCACCGAAAGGGCGCTACAGCTGAACGATATAAGCATTTCAAAGTGAAGCACTGTAATGAAACTACCTTTGTGGTTTCATGAAACTCTTCTACAGCCCTCTACCGCCTCTCTCACCCTCTCTGAGAGTTTACACGAACCTTATTTCCTATTTGTATACCGAAATATACGCGAGGCAAAATATAGTTGAGTTGATGTTAATGAGAAACTCTATTGAACCCCCAATGGATCTCCCGTTTATGGTACTCCTCATTTGAATGAGCTGCACAACCACCATCTTCGTTTGCTGATGAATGTATTTCGCCACGTGCGTATAATTTGGCATTAAACTGGAACATACGGTTGATTGAACCTCGGGGGCTACGCATACCTGGTGAACCCCAAGGAAAATGAAATCCTCAATGGGCTATCGAAGTGAGCAGTTCTACGTCAAAGGAGAATACTCTGATATCTCGAATATCGTGCCAACTGAATTATAAGACTGCCTTTCTGTAGCACTTTCGACTGAGGATGATTATAAACAGGAAACTTGTATTCGCTTCAGCGCTGGTAACACAAGCTTGGTTTGAAATGAGTGCAAATGGGTTGTGCTGCCCATCACTTGCCTAGAATGAAGCGTCAGAGCTAATAAGGATGAAATATTCCAACAATACTTCACAACTCTCACCTTATGACACCAATAACCCCGTAGTTCGGATCCCAGCTCGAATAAATGCCCTCAGAATTCACTAGCACAACCTGTGTACAAAGATGCAAAATTTTGAGACTCAAATGAGTCGTTCATGAAATCCTCCAACCGAGTGTGAAGCGTGAAAGTTGTCACAAGAAGTATCTTACCATGGTTCTTCCATGCTTCAGCTCGAGGACCTTTTAAGATGATCGTACATTCGCTTTACGGTTGGCGTTTTAACTAATGCCTCAAGTCCTTAGTCCATACCTGTAGCGGTCTTCTATAGTTTACATCATATACCTACATCAACAGACCTCTCAAACGCGTTCAAATGTTGTAATGGGAAACAAAATGTTTTCCTGGTGATTTTGCAATTAGCCATTACTGTGCACTCATGCGTATTTTCCGAAAAGAAACACATTGGGAAAGGCTGCACATCTCCCTTCCTCATGGTACCTCTCTTCAGGAGGTCTTCATATGCCCTCTGAATGCTATCGTATTGGGATCACTACAATGAGGGCACCGGCTGACAATCCTTCATGCACACCTTAGTATGAGTATCGTGCTTCCTATTGATTGGTTAATTGATTGACAAGAACAACGACTTCGGTGGAAAGCTAAATCGGGGACTGCTAAATCTGGGGATCGTACATCTCCCTTCGGAGTCGTACGTCGGTGGTGATTGACTTACTATACTCTACTGAGTTTCAGCGTTTTATAAATTTATTTCACCTTCCTCGTTCCGACTTTACAGCTACTTCAGAAAGACCCCGCACATCGTTTGGGATATCCAGACAATGGAGCCGAAGCCGTCAAAGCCCAACCGTGGTTCGCGCAAATTAACTGGGCTCGCCTTGAAGCCGGTCTGGAGGAGCCTCCATTCACACCCGATGTACGTTTTTGAATGTTCTCTTATTTCGGTCGTAGCACACATCTTGTGGTCAGCACACCGCTTGGGTGAGCTTTGATGTTAAGCATATCTAATTAACATGTACCACACCCGCTGCCTCTAATTACCGAATTTCACATCTGTCTGTCGAATTTTCTGAGGTTAATGACGGTCATTCATAACTAGCGACTACTGTTACTAATAAAGATGACGCGCGCTATTTTTGACGATCGTCTATGCGGCGCTTGCAAACAGCGTCACTTATCGGCATGGCAGTGCGACCTGTAGTTTTTTGCAGTAACTACTGCTCGATTCGACTGCCTTCCCAATTCGTTTTCTGTTTGTTGTGTTGCTGGTTCCACAGCAGGGTAAATGAAGGGATCAAGTCTCACGGTCACAGGATTTGCTTGTCTCCTCCAACTGCGCCCATGAGCCCCTGCGAAAGATAGATATGGAGTATAGTGTGTGTAGCTGACGCCACTTCTCCGGTTTAAACTTGAAGAAATGAGACTCGAGAAATGGACAGAAGGAGGTATTCCTAAAACTAGCAACAAGGCTATCTGATTGGCCATGATTTTCTAATTATGCAGAGAATATTGAACATTTGGATTCCACAATATATGGGGGGAGGGGGGCTGATAGACCACTTCACTCATAAGACTTACCCGAGTCACCCACATTTGACTAGCTAGCATTGCCTAATAGTGGTTTTGTTGGCACAGTAATTGGCATAAGAAGTCAGCTGTACTAGCTTTATACGCTGTGAGTTGTCTCATGGGTTAAGGCGTCACTTGAGGACCTGAGTTGTACACACTGACGCCAGATGGTGATCGGCGTTGCTAGAGATGTGAATCTACAGCACATTCGCATATTCCGCAGTTAACCACCGTTGGATGTTCTTTGGTCTTTTTGGTGTTGCTCGTGGATTGCCTTTCCAAGACCACTGAAAACCCAACACACCTATTTGTGTTGAGATCTGTTGTTCGAAGGCTCATACAGAATGCAGAGCACCTGTTTCTAGTGGACCGGTAAGCCGCACTGAGTGTCAGACCTTGCTCACACCTATGTGGAGTTTGCGTACAACCGTGTCGGGACCAGTCGTCTTCTGTGCGCAGTTAGGTGGATATTTCATTCAATTCCGCTTGCGTCCACATAGTTTCTGAAGAACACTCAACTTATCTAACGGGCTTGGTTAAGGTCTGGATCACCCCTAATTGGATCGGTCCATTTGGATGCCGTGTCGCGTTGTGCCAAATGCACCAGCAATAAAACAGATCGGACAATCACAGGTATTCAAGACAGTGGTTACCCAAAAATTGCCTAGACTGACTTCGTGTTTCCATCTTGTAGTTCCCAGAGGCAAGTCGTACCAATTGTGAAGGCTGAGTAGAGCGTATATCAGTCTCCTCGCTCTCTTTTCGTTCAATAAACAATCTATTAAAGGAAGAATGCACTCTAATCAAAACTTCCGAAATCGGTTCATGCTTCCCAATATAATAATTACACAGAATTTTTTTCCGATGGTAATTTCCTGGTTTGTGTAAGTGTAAGTCATCGAGGAATGTAGTGAATGCTGAATTGAAACATATCACGAGTGGTTCAATCACTGAGCCTTTGTAAACTTCTTTACGGAGAAAGACGGCGAAACTCTATAAGTCATACACTGTCGTTTAGTAACACAGGACGAAACCTTTTGATACATTCTCCTTGTTGTAACTTCATCAGTAAATCTGCTTCCGATTGCATATTTCCACAGGAAACATTGTTGTTGATATGACAATCCGTTCCCCGGAACACATTCTACAACACTCGATGTATTTTCCATCTCTTTGCTTTGTAGCCACACGCAGTGTATGCCAAGGATGTATTAGATATTGAACAGTTTTCCACAGTCAAGGGAGTAACAATCGAAACACAAGATATGGAGTTTTACCAACGGTTTTGTTCCGGAGCTGTGAGCATACCGTGGCAGAATGAGGTATGTTAATTGCTAATATTTTCTGGTAGTTTGTGCAACAACGCCTTTTTATTCGACCTCTTTTAAACATTTGGAAACTATACGGACTCATCGCATTTAAAAGTCGCCGTTTTCTGGACATAATTAATTTCCATTCTCTTCTTACGTAACGTTTCGTAGATGATTGAAACAGAGTGTTTTGATGATCTGAATGAATTCTACCAACCGAATGGCGAGTTAGTGGAGAACTTGGATCGGAGAAAGCCGCCACCGGATCCACCGCTACCCCGAGGCAATATGTTTCATAGACTGTTTTTCCGGAGACAAAACACCGACACATGCAAGCCCAGCACTTCTTGCACAGGTCTGTCAGTGCCACAATCTACTATCCCCTTATCCATGTCTAATAGTCCTTCACCAGCCGCGGTCAACGGTGCAGAAGACCTCTTTCCTGCCACACGCACTTCGCCCTTGAATTCAGTGGCAAATTGTGAAACCGTATCTGCGGAAAACCCTAACCCTCCTACAGAATCCACCGAGCCTTGTCCTCCGGCGGAATCCTCTGCCCAACCTTTTTCAAAAATGATAGATAATGAGCCAGATTTGCCTACCACACAGTTAATGAACAGTCATCACCCTCTGCGTTCTCAGCGTGGTTTGACGACGACGCATTTCTTTCGTTGTTGCACCGTCCCCAAACACTGATTGCTCGGTAACGGTGAGATTGTACACTGCACATATCATGCCCGGTGTGCCGTTTTGAACAGGAACTGTTTTTCTCGTTCCTCACCCATCAACCATTGTGCAATACTCGGACGAGGTCTGTCTCCGTCTGTCTGCTTTCCTATCTATTTTGGAAGCGCATTTCTTTTTATCTTCATCCACTATGGTCAAATGATCGACAAACACAAATATGGCGTCGACTGATCGCCCCGGACGTAAATATTTGTTGAGAAGTTTTTGTGATAAACGTTATCCATAATTTGCTATCTTCTTGCTGTTTGGGTTGGTAGTCTTCCAACAAACGCTAACTTTGACTGACTTATTCCGGAACCCCCTGTATGGTGATCATGGATTATTTTTATTCAGTGGTCGCTTCTTACACACAAATGGAACCTGTGTTTCTATACAGAAGTCCTTACCTCAACCCATGCCTTTCCTAATTTTTTTTTATCATTTAGCCAGTACTTTGTTGTATTGTGTTGGTTGAGCTCGAGATACCTGTGGTGCAGACTGCTGGCTGGAACGTCTGTGGTTCGAATCTAACCCCGGTATCTCGACTGCTCCTATTTGGGCTTTGTTTACCTGGCCGTATCTCACCCCTCGTGCCTCCTTGGGGTGGCGTGGCGGCTAGTCGCCGACAGCGTGATATAGCTAAACTATCACCATCATCATCATTGTGTTTGTTGGGACACAGCCAGTTTTACGTCATTTTACTATGGTCACCACCTGTGTACAGCTGTCATGGTTACCGTTCCCTTGTTTGTACTTTTCCTTCCTCATAGGGTATTGATTGTTTCAGGTCGTTTTCAGCTTGAGGTCAATCCATTTCTACACGCTTCCCTTTTAATTTGTGTTTTACTTTGTCCGCCAACGGATCCGTTTACGTATCTTTCAGAGCACCATCTGTTCAGTCACATGCTGCCTATCCTATCTGTTTCTTTGCTTTTTCGACAGTTGAATGATCTTGTGTTGGTGACAGTTGCTTTTTTGAAGAAAAAAAATAAAAGAAACACTAGCGAAACAGAGCCTGATTCTGAAAGTAAAATGAACCTGTTCTACATAACTGTTGGAAATCGCTACCAATACAAAACACTAGCAAACAGAGCCTGATTCTGAAAGTAAAATGAACCTGTTCTACATAACTGTTGGGAATCGCTACCAATGCACATATCATGAATGTGTTGGGGTGATCGGGCGTGTGCCTTCCGCCTTAGAAGTTGAACTTTTCGTCCGCCAATGGGTGTTCGGCGATGTGATCAACGTGCACTTAGGCATGTAGGTCACGCCACGTGATCTGTTTGGACTGGTTCCTCGACTTCTCACATTGAAGTATGTTATCTGATTATGTCCGCTAAACATCTACGTGAACTGATTAGGGTTATTAGTGTTTTTCTGTGATAAAATTCTGTAGACCGAAATAAACGATGGAGAAGCGAACTGCTGGATGATTCTTTGTGCTTCAAAGAGTTATACGCTAGGTGGGGGGGGGGCGTATTTCTGCTGAAGTGAGATAATTCTTTCAGACCTGAAGGTCACACCCTGACTTGCGATTGGCTGTATTCGCCTCTCACTGTCTTAGCCTACATATGCGCTCACTTTTTGTCGTTTGCTACCGTCCCGTTCACCTACCAATTGGTCAATCTACAGCGTGCTCACAAACGTGTTCTAGAGATTGTTGGTTTCGGACTAAGAATTTAAGAACATGTTCTAGCGAACCATTGCTTCTCAAATTACTTGTTGGTCACCTGCTTGGGTGGTGTTCCAACCTACCAACAGAGGTTACACTCAGTTTTCTTCCGTGGCACCGGAAATTTCTTTGCTGTTGCATAATTTGCTATGGGTCAGAAACATTCGCCTGGAGACAAAATCAACGGAACACTCGTTTTCCACCATTTTTCCACTGCTCACGTATGGGATAGTTCGGTTAATAGTCAGGTGGGATGTGTCAAGAGGACTGCACAGTATTTCATCAAAACAAATCTGGCTTCTGTTCCCTTCCGAGGTGTTCGATTGGTGAACTCATGGCCCATCTCTACTCGACTAAGGTTCTGTGGAACGCCGCAAGTGGGTAAATGTGGAAACATCTATAAACGTATAGCTGGGTTGGCCGCTGCTTTGGAATAGAACTCGAGTGGCGATCGTTATCAAAAGCGCATTGATATAGTTTATAAAGGTTTTGGTGGAAAATGGCCATGGAGTACCATCGGAATCCCGATAAGATATGGGAGCAGAAACGTAGTTGGTCTATGGGTGCATAAAGGCTGACGTTTCCCAAGACTTAAGCCTGTTTTTAAGTCGCTTGACTTTGGTATGTTCCAAGTGGCTAATCTGAGGAATAGAAACAGTGACAGTTCAGATGCAGTTCTTAAAACGACTATTTCTAAGTTGCCGTTTCCTGTTTCATCTTCCGATTGCGCGCATGATTCATTGTCCCCACGTGGCCTACCGAGCCTCGGAGTTTTATTTCTCAGCTTTTTCTTATATGGAAGGGATTTCATGTTCCTTTTGCTCTCCGCGCCGATCTGTTTGGTTTTTCGTGGTTTACATTTCGATTCACATTTCGTTCACACTTCGATTTTGGGTTGAAAAGTGGCCGTTAGTCATATTGGAGATAGATTTGCTGCATAGAGCTTAGGAAATTGATGGGTATGCTGTATTTTGACAATGTTCTGTCGGGAGGCACAAAATGCATTAGATAATAAAATGTAGTATTCACTCCATCTGCGTGCTCATTTGTTGTTAATGGAAGTTCCAAATGGTTCGCAAGTAGGCGTTCGTTTTTGATGTTATCCAAGTGAATGCCCATCTCAAAGCTTGTCTCAGGGTTCAGTTAGGCAGATATTAAAAATATCATAGTATCTCTGCTTGTTACAATATGTTGAGATTTACCAACTTGTTACACATCAAGTGGGTGCAGTTCAAATTCAGATGAGGCAACAGAGAGTGAGCTGGGACCTGGGCTGATTGCATTGCTTTGTCCGGATAATTCTCAACCGGAAACATAAACTTCATACGTAGATTTTCGATCGACTGTGCCCTCATGCGAGATACTTTTACTTTAGAAGACCCACTAATTGTTGGATAGTCTCCACTTGTTGAATGCTGGTATCAGCATGCCACAAACATCTAGTTTTGAGTTCTGTTTTTTAGGACATTTTGAACTGAATAAGACAGGGATACCTGAGTTTTTCCTTAGTGTCACCATCGATATCCAGTATGTATGAAATCCCGTAAAGCGCTGGAACACGCCTTCCTGGTCATTTCACTAATTTCCCAAAGGATCCTGAGATACAGTCACGTTAGAGAAGTGACACAAACCGAAGTAGATTATTAGTCATGAGTACTATACACAACTGTAGTCTTCATTTTTGCACTGTGATAATCCACGCGTGAAGAAGTGATTCAGTTAAATTAGTAGTCTATAAGGAGAATAGTTTAGCTTTTCTTACTACCCGAATCTTCAAAAAAGATTCGTAGGATGCACGTTGATGAATGGAGCCAAAACGGTTGCACATCAGCCCTCGGCATTCTAACTAGATGGGCTCCGTNTGAGATCTCTATCAACCCTCTATTGGGATCACCTCACTAGAACCGGATACTGATGTCCCGCTGCCAAGTTTTTCCACTCCTTTTGTCCGTTGATCTACATTGTGTCTGTCATTGGATGGAGTCGTATAGACAGTCTTTCAGGTTGGCACCAGGTTCATGTTTGGTCACGAAGAGACTGGACCTTACCGTGGTGTGACGGTTTGCGCACCTCAGCGTGCGTCAGGGTGATGAAAAGCTGAATCGAGGGTCCTAGTCATCCTCATGTATACTTTGGGGACTATGTAAACCATGAAATTCTTTACGAATAGAACTTCAATGTTGTGTCAACCGTCGCATGGTAGCGTCTGTCAAGTTACCTTACTCCTCTACTGAAGCGTGGGTAAGTGAGGCGGTGTCTTTGCTGACACCTTCCTTTGTATATGTACCTATATTTCACATCGAACCACGGGAATTGACAACTCTTCCTACTTTGCATCACTCGGTAGAAAAGTCTACGCTCCCGTCTTACTTAACGGTTTTGAACTTCTCGAAGTAAATCTACAGAATTCAGCACCCGGTCCGCCTGGTTGTCACTAAAGCTAAAGGCTTTCTCAGGTATTTGGGAAATGTAGATTTGGGTTTGCATTGTCAACTTCTTAACTTGTCAACTTCGTAACAGGCTCATTCGGATATTGGTATTTGTCTGCGCAGTGTGTAATCTAGTTGCGGAAAATATCCAGTACTATGTACTGCAATGGCCATGTACCACGCATGTTCCTGCAGTTTTTTAGGCTTGCAAAAATGATTAGCTTTTTCCACACATTTATCTTCCCACTTCGGGCGCTGTGGAAAATGGTCCTATTGGTGTACGGTGGTTGAGTATCAATATCAACGCTGTAGGTGTCCGTGATGACCATGTTCTTTTCGTATACAAACACTAGACGAACAGAGTAGCTGACCGATCGATTGATTTAACACAGCAATAGACTACTACTGGTGCTTAGCTGCCTACGCATCATTTCACGGCGAACGTGTTTCACTTAGCTAACATCTAGCAAACTGCGAGTATACCGATGATCAAAATTTTGGATCCGTTTGGTGTTCTAGGTTCGGAGGGGCCATGTTTCACAACCATAGAGTAAAACTGTCTTACAGTTGCTCTGTACGCATTACTCTCTAGCATCAGTGAAAGTTGTTTCCAATGCCACGCCTGATAAAACTTGTTTCCGTAATCATCTCTTATGCGGCTGCCTAGGTGGGTAAACCTGTCATCAGACTCAAGTCCCCTTCCCCCTGAAGTTTCAGAGGGATGGGGTTGGACTGGAAATCGTGAAGATCAAAAGTACTTACCGGAACAATAGGTCACATATGAAGTTCTGTTTAGGATAGACTATACACTGGTGATTATCAGTCAACGAAAAAATGTTTTCCGCACAGTCCAAGTGTATCTGGATGTATTTTTGATACGAGGATTCTTGGTGCCCTGAAATATGTATCGTGTGCTGACGAAATCAAACAGTAACGAAAGAGACAGCTTTGCCGCACATTACTAGGTAAACTGTCGGACAGTTTGTTGTTGTGGTAACAACCGAAGGGAGTAAAATTTCGATTTCCCCTTTCATCAGCAGTGCATAGAAATCCCACCTATCCACCGAGGTAAAGACCATTTTGAAGTCGAGGAAAATCGCAGTTTTTGGTGGCAGTGTGTGGCGCTGCTCAGGCATTTGACGTGATATGAAGAAGTCATTCATACAATACTTATCCCGGCTACATTTTGCTTGATGCTGTCGAGTCTGTCGGATCTCATTTGCCGGTGTCAGGCTTCGAATTCTCGGTATGCATCATAATCCTACATGGTCGCTATGTTTACCTTTTTGAACGTAATTATAATTAATAATTTGCGCCAGTTTTTTTGGCACGCACTCCAAAATCAGGTCCAACAATCAGGTCAAGACAGAACATAAAGATTCATCAACGCCTTTGAGTACCACCGATGAGAACGCATCTGCCCCGGAAAACGGTTGGTGCCTCAAGCCAGCTTCATAAAATTAGGGGAATCTAGACCTAAAAACTACGACTTGAGTTGAGTCAGTCGGATGAAATAACGTTATAAAAACCGATGGCCGAGCAGTCTATTGTTGAGAATATTTTTCCCAAGCTATTGTGTTTGATTAGGTCACTAACGGACGGTGTCGTGGATCCTATTTGGAGGATCAGCTGGAACAGTTTTCCTGCGTTCTACGCCACACTAGTCTCCTCCAATCAATGGGCTTTCTCTTTTCACCTCTTTCAATCCACATACACAGACTTCGTCTGTGATGACGTCTAGTAGACCGCGTATTTTGATGGCTTACATCGAGACAAACTGAGACGCCCTACTTTTGCACTACAACCACCAGCGATCAATATTGTGTCTGAACCCTTCCCTTTGGATAATGTGGACATTTCTTGACGTTTCTCGAATCACTGCCACAGTTGCTTGGTGCATAGGTCG